AAAAGGAAGTTGTGCATGCCCACATTGTAACTATTCTACCAGGAACGTGGTGTTATATACGTAGGACTCCCTTGACTGTAGGGTGCCATCCTTTAGTATACAGACTTTGTGCTAAAATCCATGCTACATAAACAGGCATTTGATGAGCCAGTTGTTCAGCTGCAGCATTGTTCTCTGTCAGTGGTCTCGACACAGTTTGAGCAAATGAGCATTATTGCTGTAATACATTAGATTTGAAGCCATTTTCTGCACTCGTTATTCTTCGGTTCAATTGTTCTGTTGTGTTAAAGTAAACTTTGAGTGTTGCTGGGGAGAAAGGCAGGACCAGTTAAAATGTAACTTGGGAAGTTGAACAAGTTTACCTAACAAGCAGTGTTTGTGAGAAAACAAGTGAACTTTGTCTAACAAGTGATTCCTGTACCATCAGTCTTGGGTGTTTACTGTCCAAAGAGTTTATGTACAGCAGTTTGTGCATTACTTAATACACCCCTTTATACTAAACATACACTAGAAGACTTTATAAAAATCTTTTCAGAGTCTTTTCAAAGACTGTCCAACGCCCTCTCACATCTAAAGACAATGTATCATTAGTCAGAGTTTTGTCACAGACTATGATTTTGCAAAGACTGGGAATCTTGCAGGGTCACTGTTTGCAAGACTGCAAACTGGATTCCTTTTGAGATTATTTCCCATCATGCTCCTGGTAGAAATTTACACAAAGAGAAAAATTGTTGAACAATAGAGCTGAAATATAAGCAGCTTTTGGCCACAGCTGCTCTTGTTTCATCACAGAAATGGTTTGAGATTCCTGAGATCCCGTTTTGCTGCTTCCTGTTTAGTGCTGGAGAGAGCTCATCTATTGGTTGTTGATAATGTCCACATCACTAATTTCCGCAACACTCATGATTTTATTCTGACTTTGGGAACTTGTCTGTGACAGTGAAATTGCCTGAAAGGTTGTTTGGTGTAATGCCAGCATTAAGTTGTATTGTCACAAGACACTCACTCTTGATGATTTAAGAATGTTGGCTTCTAAGGCCCAGGAATGGTGTTAAAACAGTGATTTCAAAGAGATATTGATCACGGTTCTCATATCTGACTGTGGAACGATATATATGTATTTGGTAATAATGGGCTTACATTCCAGCCTTCAGATAAAGGCTAATGAGCTGGTGTGAAGAACTTGCGCCTCTAGCCAAATTAAACTTGAGATTGCAGCAAATATGCAGCAGCTGAGCTGTAATGAGGGCGCTACCACCTTAAGATCAGTGCTTGGGCTGGACAATGTAAACAAGGGACACACTTGTGGTCTTCAAAAAATTTACTGAAGTTTCTCATTTTTTGATTTTCTCTGCCGATAAGGAGCGTTGCGTGGTGTCAGCCTGTTTAAAGAAACCAATGCAATTCCAACCATCTATGCTATTCTATTAAGAAAAGACAACATACAAATGCACAGCTTGGGTGGTTGAGTTAGTGGAGCACACCTCTGCTGTTGTTTTAGTATTACACGTGAGTCATGGATGGAATGACCTCTCCCTCAGAAAAGAACTGAAGAAAGTGACTGCACAGCAGCTACAATATCCTTTGTGAAAAGGAGATACTGTGGATAAATAAGCTGAAAGACATCAGTGGTGTGGCAGTACTTTGAATAACATTTAAAATCCAACATGCAACAGACCGGTGCTGTAAATTATCCTGTACACTTGTCAACTAAAACTGGAAATACTTATTTCCCCACCTGTAGCATCGCCATCCACTAGAACATACAGAAAGCATGCATTTACACTTACAAATGCCAACAGTGTGAGACCTGTCATCTGGAAGGGGCAGCTAAGCACTCTGCAGAAAAAGGCCCAGCAACAAACTGTACTTTCTGCATTTTCTAGTGTTAACGCCCAACGACAAAAAGGTTGTTTTTGTATGACTTATTTCTTAAACCTTTCATTCCATTACATTTGTCGTTATTTTTCATGCTTTCAGTCTATTTTAATGGGAATCCTCCAGGAATTTTAAGCAAAAATGGAGCTTTAAAGAAATATGTGTTGAATTACATGGTGAATTATCAATATTGACTCATTTGGGGGGGAAGTTATCATGATAAAATGTCTTTTTGTATCACCCAGCCCTAATCAGGACTATCAGAAGGGAATGAAGAACCTCAATTTTGGCATTGGCATTACTGCTCAGCGAAATACCTTTATTTTTAAGCATTATTATGTCCGATCAATGACTAACAGCCTCTCACTAGTGGTGGGATGCAGCTGCTGGTTCATGCCTTTCTTGCTCATCTGGAGCCTCAGATTTTTTAAGTCTTATGCCTTGTGCTTTTGTGGCTGTGGAATGTTGAGGGGGTCTGTATTTTTCATATCAAGTCTGGTCCTATGCCATTCTATGTATTTCAGACCATAAAATCAGTAATTAGCACAGATCATTTTCCAACACATTTTTTCATTGCGCCTCTCCTGTTACCCCCTATGCCTTGCTTCTTAATACTGTTTAATCTTTTGCAGAACTCTTTATTTATCATTAATTACTTACAATTCCTTCCTCCAGACCTTGTCCTCATACAGCTAAAAGAATCAGTTCCCCTTGCTAAAGATAGGTGTGCTCCGATTCACACCCCCAAGCTAGAGGCAAATATGTTCACAGTAAGCTGCATGTGTGCAGCTACAAGCCAGACACATGCTTAACCTAGTTTACCGAACTTCTGTTGCCTGGAATTAAGTTTTTAAAAATAGATTTACTGCAGTTGATTAAGGTACACTTTGTTTGGTTGGCCATTCTCAGGCTGTTCACTCACATCTTGCTTGCATATTTCTTGTAGTAAAAGATAAATTAATAATAAATTAGTTAAAAATTTCTGGTTCAATCATTGAATTTTATGTAGGAGATTTTTTAGTTGGTAAATTGTCATTGTATTTGGATTTGAAGATTTACTCTACTCTGGTAATTTGATGTTCAGTAAGGAACTCATCTCTGATTTACGGCTAAAGGTTCTAGAAGAGGGTCAGGGTAGCTCTGTGCTGTATCAGGGGATGTCATATCTCCAAGTGCAGAATCTCTTATCTGCACACCATCATCACGCTCGAGTTATTTTTAGGCTGCCTTTTTTTTTTTTTGGAGATAACTTTGAGTGTCATTAGAGTGTAACGTGGGTAAGCTCTAAGGAAATGCAGAGTGTCCTTTAGAGATGGGTGTTCTGGAGAAGACCTCCCTGCTGTTACGAGTACCAACTAGGGCTGAGTGTGTGTGCAATGAGGACAGATAAACCAGACCACAGAGATGCAGACCCTAAAACTGGGTCTAGTACAAGTTTGTGAATGACCTCCTTAGGTTTGCTTATTCATTCTAAGAGCTTTGAACATTCTCATTAGGCTTTTTTCTTGTTTGAAGAGAGTATGCTTTATCGAATTTTGTAAAAACATTGAAATGGAAATATTTTGTCGTGGAAATTAAATTCTCTTCATTAGAATGATTATTTTGGACATTTTGGAATTATCAGAAAAACCACAGGTTTGACCCAATTTATCGTTGCTCTGCGAGAGAGCGATTCCACTATGAACTTTGGCTGTCTTGGCCTCTCAGTGCTGATGCTTAGAGCCTGTCAGTCCAGCCTCTCTCTGTATGTCCACTGCTTGATGTGAATCAAGAATTTTTATTATTGCATAGAACAATGAGACAGTAGCATCTCTCAATAGCGTAATACAATATCAATAAATAAAATATGGAAAAAAATTGGGGAGAAAAAAATGTGTGCATATATTATATTATCCATCCATCCATTTTCCAAACCGCTTATCCTATATTATATTATATTTATATTATATTATATTATATTAAATACAAATTGAGTGAGTTTTGACTTTGTACTTTCTCCAGCATTTGAGGAGATAATGTTCTACTGTGGTAGCTTTCCTGGAGTTTTGTGTGAAGTCCTTCTTTGAGAAGGATGCCACCTTTGTGTCTATGTCCTAATAGGCATTGCAAGGACAGAGAACATCTGTACTATTGTGAACAGCCATCCCATTGTAATTAAATGAGTATTTCAGTTGTTCTCAGTTAAACACATCATTGAACACTAGCAATTTATGACTCCATATTAAACAGCTACCCCAATGCATTTGTTCAGATTTCCCATTTAGCTTTGTCTAGATCGGTATCTTCAACCCCTCAGCGTCTTAAAATTACATAAACCATTTTGTCTGGAATACCAAAAGGCTTTTTAAAGATATATAATGTAATATTGTGATTTTAGCTGCTGTGGAGTCATCCTTCATAAGCAGTCAAATAAATAATTCTTCGACTTAAAAGCATATTTGTCTGCCTGTTGACAATATTTGGCAAATATGTAGTATTCCCTGCATTATGTGTAGTATTCATTCCCTTGTGGTCAGAATACGGAGGCAAAGATTGTTAATCACTTTTAAAAATTCCTTTCCCAAGTCTATTGAATCTGATATAGCACCTGTCCTAAAGTACTTGGCAAAGTTTGAATAAGTAGGATTATAAAAACTGAAAAGCTGGAGACTCCATCATAAACTTGCTGCACTAGTGATCCCAGAGTTTTGGGTTGGTTAAATTTGGACTGTGGACATGAATCAGCTCTGTGATTTTAATGGCTGACCTGGGAAGTAGATGAGCCCGTGATGATTTTGTGGGGAATCCAGTGGACAAAATAGCATGTAGCAAATCACCTTACTATGGTATTGTAGAGGATCAGGAACAGTTAGCTTTAAAGGACAGGGCTATGGTGAAAGGCAACACATTAAACTGAATTAACCTCACATGATTGCTAGTGTTAGGTTATTTGTCGTTATAAAACACGTCCTCATGTCAGTGAGCGAATATTACTGACTGGTGTCTGTACTAGAGGTTTTAACTGGACACTTTAGGAAATGTCACAGTTTCTGTTTAGGTAGGATTGGCCTGAGGTGAAGGTATATAGCCTTTTCTCTGCACTCAGTTGACTAATATAGTGTCACAATTTTCCCCTCTTGCAGGTGGATTTTCCGTAGTTTTTCTTGCTCGAACTCATAGTGGAGTTCGATGTGCCCTGAAGAGGATGTACGTAAATAATGTGGCGGACCTCAGCGTCTACAAGAGGGAGATCACGATCATGGTAGGCCACAGCAAACAGATCCATTGGGACCTCTTTAACTAACCCTTAATACCTTAATCTTATGCAGGTAAACGCTCGCTGCCTCCTAAATTTGTCTGGAAAAGGAGCGGCTCTGATGATACAAAGCAGCTTCATGGTGCTTATCACCAGTGTCCATCTCATTTCCATCTCACAATCTCATCTACGTACTTTAATGATTCATGCGTTTTGGCTTCACAACATTTTTTTTGAGTATTGTATTAGCTATGAGTTTTGCTGTTACGTAGGATCTGCATGTGCTTTCCTTTAATCTTGTGCCCTGAATTTGTTTTCATTAACAGAAAGAGCTTTTGGATCACAAGAATATTGTACGCTACTTGGATTCTGCCATTAATGCTGTGGCAGAGAGTGTCTGGGAGGTCCTGATTCTCATGGAGTACTGCAGAGGTATGTTCTGTCCCACCTGGTGACTTTCTTACTGCTGTCTAGCTATTTGCTAAATCCATTCTTCCATGTCGTGTTGTCCTTAGGCTAGCCTCGTAGCCAGCTTTGCTCAGTTATACCCATTAGAGCATCTGCTTTGGAGCTGTCTAGGAAGATCCTTACCTGACATTACTTCAGTGAAGTAATCTGCTATTGATTTGTGCAGAATGCAAATTCATTAAGGAGCATGGGATGGATGCTAAAGTAGTTTGGATTATATGCATACTGGCAGGGCAGCTGCCAGTCCATCCCTCTAGGTGACATCTGTAAGGGACCAGCTTGCTAAAACTTTGGAAATTGCTTCTTAATTTGGCGTGTCAATTGTCTCTAAAATGTAAATCATTAATCTGTTAAATTATCTTCTAGTGTTATGGAGGAATGATCCTTGCTAAAATCATGCAGTGTGTTCATGTCATTTATTTGCATATAAATAAAAAATAATGAGACCAAAATCAACTAAATGAACAACTGCACATCAGTTTCATCTCTGAGCCCTGCACGGGTTATATTTGGCATCAAATAGATATTGGTCAGAGTGTGTGTGTGTGTGTGTGTGTGTGTGTGTGTGTGTGTGTGTGTGTGTGTGTGGGTAAGTTAACTTAGCATATACTGTTCAGTGTTTGTACAAAATGGGGAGGTGCGGAAAGTCCCACATCTGTGTTCTAGCTTTTTTTGTTTACATTACAAAAATGTATATGCACTGGTCCCCATGGAAACCTAGGGATTAATTAGTAGAATTCAAAGGGCGATGGTATCCTTCAGCTGTAAATGAAGCTCGGAGAGGTCACCACCCTGCTCTGCAGCTTTATCTCTGAGCATGTAGAGCAAGGTCTTCCTCAATTCTAAACCCAGAAATAGTACCATGCGAGCTGTAATGTAGGTAGCGTCAGTGTGGGTAGGAGCCAGCCTCTCTTGTTTTGGATTTCTTTTGTCCTTTTGTTTGAATTATCATCATTTGTTCTGTGTCTGGTGCTGCTTTTCAAATCTGGATGTCCTTTCTCCTGGACTTCTTTTGGTTTAGGAAGGCTCAACTTTGGCTTTAGTAGCCATGGGAATGGAGTAGCTAGAGATCATTATAGGACGAAATGGCTTGGCTCTGGGAGATATTTCTGGAAGAGCATATTAAAAGTATTACACATCAAATTGGAATATGGACGATATACTAAAAAAAGTAACCTTTGTTTTTGTGTGTTTCACTGTTGTGCGTTTGTCTTTGAGTCTTACATTTGCCTGCTTTCCCTGTTGACAGCTGGTCAGGTGGTTAAACAGATGAACCAGCGTCTTCAAACAGGCTTCAGTGAGGCAGAAGTCTTGGCCATCTTTTGTGATACCTGTGAGGCCGTTGCCAGGTTACATCAGTGCAAGACCCCAATCATTCATCGAGATCTAAAGGTACTGTGCTGTTTCTATGGCTGCCACTCATTTCTCTTATCTTGAAGAAAATGCAACAGTGTAACTTTGTTGCTTCCGTATATAATGTAGATCACACCATTTTGTTTTTATTTAAATAGAAAAGCAGAACTTGGCCTGTTTTTATGGGAACAGAAATCAAAATGCCGTGGGAATTCTCTGTTTTGGCTGCTATGCAGGTTTTCCCCAATCTGCAAGAGCGTGAATAAGAGTTAGTCACTGAACATTTAGTGGAATCTTGTTTAAAATTAATCTTGAAGAAAAGCTTGGGCAGAGTTAGGAGTGTGGAGCCCATGCTGGGGTTAGGGAGCAATAGTCCGTTTCCAGCCCTGACCCTGAGATCACTTCTTGATTCTCTGTGGAATGTGAGAACTCACTTGTGAGAGCAGTGTCACTGTAGAGGGACAGGGCTCCACATTTTTGCTGCTCAGTGGAACCCACAGTCAGCTGGAGCTCTGCCACTGTGTCCTCAGTGAAACCTCAGTGAAACTTGGTGGGGGGGGGTGTTTTGGGGGTGCAGCACCCTTGGTGGCCACCTCTGTCACCTAATGGGTTGACTGGCACTGAGCTTAATAAAAAGAAAAGTGGTAATTTTATCTGCTAGGACTTTGAATAATAAATTTACAGTAGTTTGACAAGTGTTTTCACAACTTTTTCTTATAATGTTATGTTATGTAGCAATTGTAATTTAAGCAATAATCCTGCTTTTTCAAGTTGCCGATTGTTGTCTTGGTGGTGCTTGTGTAACAGATGAGATATTGCTGTACTTGCTGGAGAAACGTGTGAATTTGTGCTTTTATCTGTCAGGTGGAGAACATCCTCCTGAATGACCAGGGGCACTACGTTCTGTGCGACTTCGGAAGTGCCACACACAGAGTGCTCCATCCTCATAAAGATGGAGTGAATGCAGTAGAAGATGAAATAAAAAAGTAAGTTTGGGGATCGATTAAGTAAAACAAAATAGGAGGAAAGACTGGTCAGAAGTCTAGTGCTTTTTATATCTCCTCCTGAAATTATTGTAGCAATGATGTATCTATGGAATAGCTTGTAAGGGATGCTTCCTTATCACAGCATTCTGTCTGGCCTATGATAAGTGGTCAAATAAAGGACACGTATTATGGTTATCATCATCATTATTATATGTTCTGTGCACTGAGTGATGGTGATTATGGTGCCGTTTGGTGCCATTTCTTGCAGGTACACCACCCTCTCGTACCGAGCCCCTGAGATGGTTAATCTGTATGGAGGGAAGCCCATTACCACCAAGGCTGATATATGGGTAAGAGATTTATGACAGATGGTGACAGTCCTTTTGTAATGCAGGGAAGTTTAGTGATATTAATTTTTTAATTTATTTCCAGGCATGTTCTTCATCAAAAAAATGACTTTGCTGTTTTAGATTATTATTTTCTTATGGCTATAATAATGTGTACTGTTGCTTTATAGATCCTGAATAATGTTTCAGAGCTAAAATACCTTCTTCCCCTCCAGGCACTTGGATGCTTGTTGTACAAGCTTTGTTTCTTCTCACTTCCATTTGGGGAGAGCCAGGTTGCCATGTCTGATGGGAACTTCATTATTCCAGATAACTCCAGATTCTCCTTTAAGCTGCACTGCTTAATCAGTAAGTAGACGCTAGATAACTTTACGGTTGCCTTCTAAACACACTGAATGCAGAAGCCCTAGTGATTAAACAATAGTGTTTTTTCCAACTGTATTCTCACCAGATACAGTAGCCCCCTCCTGTGGTGAGAACATTCAATTTCTTCTGAGCAAATGTAAAAAAAAAAAAAATATATAAATATATATATATATATATATATATATATATATATATATATTTTTTTTTTATCTGGTCACCATCAGCAGTCACTGTATATCTTCCTGATTTTCTCCTCGCTGGCTGCTAGCCAAACACAAAGGACATCTGATCCACCCACTTATTAAAATGCTGAAATGTATTATTGAAATTAAGTGCATTGAAGTGCCTTGAGACTGTGTGCGACTCTTATGTAAAGATCAACATCATTGCACCATATGTGGTCAGTTTCTACAGGTAGTAAAGAAAAGGGATTGATCACAGCTAAGACCCAATCCAATCCCAATCCAAAACGTGACATGACAGCGGAAAGGCTGAAGCAGAAAATTTGGTCTTCATAGTAGGAATATTGTTCAGAAAATGACAATAAGAAGAGTGTTAAGTTTTGCAAAGGCATGTAGCTGTGGGCTGTCCTCTAACAGAGAACTCCAGTTCTTCATTTAACTCATCCTGATGAGTTTATAGAGAGCGGATCCCACATGGTTCTTCCCTGGGATGTCTTTTGATACATCGCCTCCATTTGCATGCTTTTCTTCAGGACTGTGACTTCTAGCAGTGTCTATGAGATAGTGGCACTGCGAAGTGAGCTAAAGGTCCCTCTAATTCCCAGATGCAAACCCTGGCAGGCTTTTTAGTTGCTATACTACACTGATGCAAGATGGATGCCAGAATGTATCCAATGTTGGAAGCTCTTACCTGTGTGAGGAGTGATCTGAGCTTGGAGAGTGTCATGAGCTCAGTGTGTCTCATGTTGATTACCTTCATTGTAAGTCTCCCCTAAGGAGGCCTGTAACCTCTCATGACCTTAATAATCGCCCTTCATCACCCTCTGTTGTTCTTCCAGTGGAAGCTTCCCCTCCTCATCTGGCAGCACAGTCATAGGTGAACTTCACGCAGTCAGTTCCCTTCTTCTCACCATTCCCCATAGTCATTTTAATATACAAGGTGTTCTTGCTAATGACCTTACATTTGAAAAAACAGAAGATCGTGGAAGAGGCTGCATTTCGTTTCATCTCGTTCATATTTCTACTCTTCCCTATTTCCAGTGCTGAGAATTAACATTTTTGTTCTTCGTTGTTGGTTTATTCATGAAAATCAAAACCAGTACAGAGGTGGGAAGTCGTTGGGCTGCATTCGACTGGAATCGAGTGGCCTGTTGTCATGTTGATCTTTACACTGGAGGTGACCATAAACTTAAGCCATCCAGGAATTATGACTGGTTGATCATGAGCCATATATCACGAATGAAGAACTAGTGTTCTGTAAACTTTATTCATTTAGACCATGATAATTCTTAGTGAACACTACAATGAAATGACCATATTTTTGGAATTATACAATGGACCCAGAATGAGGAAAATATTGAAGTGAACTACTTTGCATCTACTTTGCGGTAACATGGATATGTTTGTTCCCCCCTCAAAAAGGATACATGCTTGAGCCAGATGTGGAGAAGAGACCTGACATCTACCAGGTTTCCTACTTTGCCTTCAAGTTGGCTGGAAAAGAGTGTCCCGTGCCAAACCTCTTTGTGAGTATCACCTCAGCAGCTATAATTCACTGAGCAGGCCTTGGCCAAAACTGTGCTGCAGGTGGATGTAATGCCAAAGTAATTGCTGCCTAATGACTGTAGCGCTTATGTGAATATGGTTTGGGAGAAGCTATGGAGATGTGCCGTTTTATCTTCCCTGCTTTCTGCAGAACTCTTCCCTGCCGACGTCCCTCCCAGAGCCTCTTACTGCCAGTGAGGTGGCTGCTAAGAAGAGTTTGACGAAGGCCAGGTACCGTAGAGAAGCGGTCTGCTCTTCTTCTTCTTCTTGGAGCAGGAGCCGGCTGCTCCGCATGCTCATCTATGCACACTTCATGGTGCGAGAAATGCTGCTTTAAAGGAGCAGAAGTGTCACCTTCATGTCTAAACTGAAGCTCTCCTGTGGTTCGACATTTATATTCATAAATATTTGCTCTAATTACTGTATTAACTTTATGGATGTTGTGGTTTTTAAACTGCTGTAAATTAATACACAGAATTATTACTGCAGAATAACGGACTCGGTTGGACCAACAGAAACCTCAATTGCCCCAAGACAGAGACCAAAGGCTGCAAATGCCAATGTCGTGTCCATTCACAATACTGTTACTCCTGTGAAAATGACGGTTCCTACTGGACCAGTGAGCAATGGACAGAAAGGTAAGCGGTACTTTGGGATTGCAGTGCCCTCATACGTGAACGTTAAAGATCTGATACTGGTCAGTTTTCACTTTGGCTACCTGAAATGACAGTTGATGTCTCTCTCTCCTGTGGTGGATGTCTTTGATAGTGCCGGGCCCGGGGAACGGACAGTCTGCTTTGCAGACTTCCTCAAGCAGCCAGCAGCACCGCATCCTGCAGCAGCTGCAGCCTGGAGACCTGCGACTGCAGCAGTTTCAAAAACAGCAGCAGCAACAGCAACAGCAACAGCTCCAACAACAGCAACAGCAACAGCTCCAACAACAGCAACAGCAACAGCTCCAACAACAGCAACAGCAACAGCTCCAACAACAGCAACAGCAACAGCTCCA